TGATGGTGATGATAATAACACTGATGATGGTGATGATGACTACAGCTGTATGAGTGCAGGCATTTTGAAAGAACGAACCAGTCTTCAAAACAGCAATAACAGGTTGTGCCTGGCCACCACCATCATTTCTCATCAACAGTAGTTTTCATCTGACTACAACTAATCATACCCTACAGTGCAATTACTCGCAAATTTCAAACCCTGAACAACAATTAAAAGAAGAATACATTACATCGTAAGATCCTGGCTGGTCACGACTGTCTGGATGCTGAGCCAGTAATTCACGAGCATCATTCAGCTGACCATGCAATACTAGACTATATATCTGCAGATAAAAATATAAACAGTATCAGATTATTATTAAACAAATAATTTTTAAGAATATTATAATGATATAATTTGCACAATGATTGGTTGGAGAATGTGTTTATATAATGATATACCTATGGTACAATCAATTGCAAAAATATTGTCGGCTTTAAAACATAGAACATRGAWGCTAAGACCAAAAGCTATTCTGGAAAATGACACAATTATCCTCTGATTTATTTATTAGAGATACATCTGTAGTGGATATCAAACATGTGTTAGAATCCTCCATGCTCTCTGTCAGTCTAACAAWTCATGAAAATTCCATGAGTTGTGTGACATTAGATTCATAAAATTAAGATACAGTACTTCCCATGTACCATTTCAGTCTTGGGTTCTATATTATATGTTTTGGATTGTATAATAAAAAAATCCACTTTGATAAATTGGCTTATACAATAATTTGTGACTTTTATCTTTAGGATAAATTGTTTGTCTAACATTCCATGTGATCTTAATGCACTACAAAATGGGAAGTAATTCTTGATGCTTCAATGATATCCAGTTAAAACATAGTATGTTTCCTCAGTGATTTACCCCTAAGTCCAGACACTTATAACCAGTTTCGTCCTCCCCCCCCCCTCCCTAACACTAATAAGCCAGCAGTCCAGAAGCAAGAACTGGTAATTATAAGCCCAGGGAGACCAAATTTCAGGTTTGGCAGGCAAAAATAAGGATGCACTGCCAAATGAATAATAAAATGGAGTGCAAAAATTTCTGGAATGACCTCCTTTTCCAATGCTCCTTTACTATGGCAGGCTAAAGAGGTTTTCTATTTTGGGCCCTGTAAGCCCCTGAATGAATATAATAATGAGATCAAAGCTACTATACAGACATATACCAAGGCTCAAAATTGGAAATGAAAATGACCAGATTTGTATTTATGGCAGCATAAATAATTTCATTAGAGCAAAATTTGCCCTCCTATTCCCATTGGCTGGATGCTATTTTTAGTAAAGATGAATTTTTGTAAGTAGTAGTTAAGGGATGGTGGAAAACTGAAGTTAGAAGTGTGCTAGTTAGAGACTTACAGCAGGCCAATAGSCAGGGCTTTCGTGTGGTGATGCATATTGTAACACTTGTTCAATGTACTTGTCTGTGTCTTCTGTTTTTGACCATTCTAGAAGTCTTGGTAGAACAGCACCACCTGAGGATCAAGGTCAACAATAAAACAAWCCATTTAAGGTGACTGCCTACTTTTGAACATTTGATTTGAGCYCACRATGTGCGCGCACTCAAAAACTGCTAAAAAATTTACRAGATTTTATTGAAGAACGTTTTGAGCTTCAACAGGACAAAACCCTCAAATTTTGCACGGGACACTATTTTTTAATAGCTCATTCGAAAAAACTACTAAAAATCTAGGTTATATCAACATTTTAGAAAAAGTTTATATCAGTAACACATGAAAAAATAGATTTTTGTAGGGATTTTTGATGACTTTATGAGATTTTTTGAGAGCACCGAAACTACAAAATATGACAAATCAATGTATCTCT